CAATCTTCGCAGTTGGGAACGAGTAGCTTGGACCTGTACGGTTTAGAATTTCGGGCAGAGAGCGGTAGTGCCCGCGATTTCAGCAGATGCACTGCATTGTTTTCATCTCAAATAGCTTTAGTTTGTTCGACGCAAAGATGGTTTTGGCTTCCGCAGCCATCGAGCTGTGCATGAAGTCATGCATGTTACCTGCTGTAGGGATAGTAGATTTCGTGCTTTCCAGCAGGATGCTATCGAGGGCATTGTGTAGTGGGACTTGGTTGCGGCATTCTGTACACTGAATGAATTCCAAAGTGACTGTATCAATAAAGACTGACTTTTTACAAGAACTGCTTGATCGCACATTGCATCAGGAGTAGGAATGCAAGCAATTGGTTGTACGCTCCGATAGGATGATGGCTCACACTTCATTTTATGCACGGGAGCTCCGAAATTTACAAACTCAGTTTAAATCTATGATTCCTTCGGTAATGGAGAGGGAAGATAACCCCTGTGTGGAGCGGGTAGGGCATGGTCAGTTAGTACCACCGAACACTCCGAATGTACCTGGGGTGCTGTACCCACCGGCCTCGAATAGTGATGAAGTTGAGTGCTTATACCTTTGGCTGTAAAGCGCTTCTTTGGACAGAATACGGGTGGAATGACGAGGTATCACGGTTTAACAATCTCTCAGAGGAGGACGGAAATGGCGGTTTTATCCGTTTATTTCATGCTTTCGCTAGGATGGTGCTATCAAACTTATGACTCAAGGAATCTCAATTAAGCGGGGAAAAGTCCGATAGTATTTTGAGTACAGCTATTGGTGGGGTGTGCTAAGTAGGCAACCATTGTTATGCAAGAAGTAGGGGGAATATCTCGGACAGATTTGGGCCCGGAAATATTTCTTGACCTTGTGATTATTGATTCGTGGGCTGGATTTAGACATTGGCTCCACGCTTGAAGATATGGCTGGATCGGCCGAGGAGGCCGATGGCTGACGTCATTTGACTGTTGGATTTTAGAGCTTGGTCACTTATTCGGTGAACTGACGAGAATTAAGTGAACCTTACACAGACTGCTTTTGCTGTTTTGAAATTTAGGCCAACTGATATGGGAAGAATTGAAAAGGTTTATCGCAAACTTGAATGTATTCAAAGTTAAAACCGCGTGATTGAGAATGTCTATGACTGATGCGTTTCACAGCAAATTCTCCGTGTGATCGATTTGTTGAACTGAATGAATTTTCAAGTTAATTACTTACCTCAAATTGAAACGTAATGCTCAATGAAACGGGACGCCGTGACCTACGGCAAAAGGTTAATCATTCACAATGGTTTGGTTTATGGAGCATGTCAGAGTTTACATTGCACAAAATATGCGCCCGTGCAACTCCCAAAAACTTTATTTCGTCCTGTCTTCTGCTCATCCAGACGGATGCCGAATTCTGTGCTTTTTGAACTCAAGAATTCCGAGTAACAATCTCGACCGACACATCCATTTTATTTGGATAAATGCACTTGGTTCGAAGAACGTATGGACCGCAAATGATGATGGCCCATACCTGTAGATCGAGGTTCTGGTGCAGCGCCTGATATCACCATGCAGGTATTCAGGTCTCGCTTACTAGGAGCGGGGGTCTTCGTTGCAAATGGCGAAACCTGGCAGGCTTTGCGTATCCTACCCCGGACGATTGCCAGATAGTTTGTGACTAGAGATGTACCTAGCACTGCTCATCATAAGGCCAGTCACTGAGTTCTAACCCCGCGTAAAGGAGACTGTCTTTGCTTGGATACCATAGTGATGAGAGCGCACGTTAAACACATGGTAAATATGCATTTGGGTGTCCGCAGTGCCTACCAAATAGCTAGATGCAATCTACTTCAACCATAGCAGACAGCTGTATAACCAAGCCAACACTCACGACCAACATGCGGCAAGTTGTCCACGATGCCTAAAAGACTGACTAGATATTGCCTACATTTATCAATTGGCTAACACGCATCCATCCATCTCGACTGGGAAAAGTCTATAGCCCAACATGGACGGGATGAAAAGCCGAAATTTACTGGGCGTTTTGATTATTGCATTTGTCCTGGCAGGAAGCGTACGGCTTTATCGATGTACAGTTTTCTCCGAACTCTTGACGTCCTAAAATCAAAGAAAGATATGAGGCAATTTATAAAAATATCGCTTCGAAGCGTGCGTACATTGAACTGGGGAGAATACTTACCCTATGAAGCGATCACTTCAGCAGCGGACGTCTCGTAGAACTATGCTTACACGACGTCATCTTCAGTGATTGGTTTGTATTGCGTTATTTCTTGTGGCCATTACCCACTGAGTATTAGGCTTCAAGGAGTGTGGGACGAACTGGAAACGCATGTTGCTCCGTTAAGAGAAGAACAAACTGGAACTGGTGGCCTTTACATGTGTCATCTGAAATCTTCGTCGCCCCTTTCCTCAAACGGGTGTCCTGCATCCGTGGTGCTATGCTATTTATTCACGGCCGTCGATTTGATCCTTCACGGGGCTGAAAGTGCGGAACCACACACACTGTTGGGACACATTGCGCTGAAATTCTTGGCTTTGGTCCAGTTCGATATAAGCAAGCCTTCCTTCTGAACCGTTTTTCAGACACATCTTTGGGCTGTCTTGGGGTGTAGGTGGCTAGGCAGCAAAAATTAGTTGATTATGCGCGCAATCACTTTGAGAACAAACCTGAAGATCGTCAACGTACGGCGAGTGAGGTTGAGCAGCACAACAGTCCAAGTGATATGGCGAATGATTCGCTCCACACCGAAAGTCGCAACTACTAGTAGGTGGGGTACAAAGCCACAGACTCAAAATTCGGGGTTCCTAGGCCGTCATCTGAGTTAAGGTGCAGTATTTTCTAGAACTAACAGCATGTTGTGCATCACATACGTTGAGCTCCGGCGCAGTAGGATTTGTCTTCGAAAGATGCATTGTTATATGACGTTTCTATTAATCATCACGCGAATATTTCTTAAAATTCCCCACACTTGATCTGTTCCTATTGGTACCTCCGGCTCCAGTTTTGTGTTTAGTGCGTGCGCATGAATTGGTCTTCGTTGTCTCAGACATTTTAACGTTTTAACCTAGAGGTCAGCTAGCCTTTATGACTGACCTTACGCACGCCTAACCATCTCACACGTGATCCTGTTTCGCTCATTCAGTCTGTATTCCCACAGTCAAAGTGGACAATAACACTGCAACTGCAAAATCAAACACCCTGCGAAAATTAAAGAAGAGGATAACTAAAACAGACTCCAAAAATTGGGACAAATTATGGGGGTATTGAGTAACATTTATACCAAAGAATTTCCATTCGACACGCGAAGGTATTTTAGGAAATTGCATCTGTCTGCTAAGGATCGTTCTGAGAAAAAGTGGACCGAAGAATTTTCATTCGGCAGGCAAAGGTATTTTAGGAAAATGCATCTGCGTGCTAAGGATCGGCCTGAGAAAGTGTATAATGAATTATGACTGCCAATCACTAGAAGCCTAAACTGTGAAGTAAATTCATTCAAACTGTACGTTACAGTAATGTTGCTCAGAGCATTTTGTTCAAGTGAATGAACCAAAAACATATCTTCATATGATTCATAGTTCATGAGTGAGCGCGAAATAAGGTATTAGCATATTTTGGCTGTCTACGATACTCTTCAAATGGAGGATAGCACTTGCAGAATTTCCAGTGTAAATTCCACCAAGGTGAGTGCACCAATAAGGTCGTATGTATCAAATTAAATTATTTTTTTACCGAATATCGGTAAAAAAACGTGATTCGGCTTACGTAAAAATAATAACACAAGATAACTTCGTACACTGTACTGTATTGGTGCGGGTATGAATGTTCTGCGAGCGACCTTCACTCCCAGATGCGCGCAAATAGTGTAGTGGTCAGGCCAGCCTAAAAGCTACTTCACCAGCAGTGTGGCAAAGGAACGAAAATTATAACGCTAGATTGACTTGTAAAAACAACGGGAGTTAGATGGAGAAGACTCACTAAGAATTGTCCACCTTAAAATAGTTCATCGTTGGCCCAGGTTGGGCATATATAATAGTCCAATCCTGGTGTCCAGAGGTCTTCTGAACAGTTCTCACATATTACAAACTCCGAAGGCAGCCTGAAATGCTTTGATGCCAGAGTTACCACACGAAGCTCGCGAATGACCACTGAAACCACGAGCGAAATCAGAGGAGAGAGTAGAAGCATGTGACCACGTTTGTATTGCGTGAAATTGTACAAGAGCGCGTTTTTTGTAGTTTTTCGTATTCATACAAAAAACGGTTATGCAATTGACAAAATACGTTGTTATAATGGAAGCATAGGAATACTCACAAGATGACAGATTCAGGATGTGTTTCGCTTAAAGCATACAAGCCGAGGCGGCGCAGGACTCAGTAAGAACAAGTGGTGTTCGAATATACACCGTAGATTCCGAGGCGCAACTGTTATTAAGTGAATAAAAATAAGCACTTAGATCCTCCGGTGGTTGTTCACGCTCCTTCAAGAACCCAGTTTAAAGTAATATAGGACACTTATTTATGCGAATCCTCGCGCTAGCGAGCATACCTGCCCCCACTGAGAACATAAAGAGCAGTGCTACACCCTTTTTTCATTTGTGCCTTTCAGGTGAACGACAGTCACTGACCGACGAGATCAAAAGCGACCCGGGAAACTCGGGCAATAGTCTCGATCCTGTGTATCACTCCGTGAATCCGTGAATACCAAAATACGCTTCGCTTTACGAAGCCCATCGGAAACGGGAGAAAATTGCTGGACCACCTGAGCTCATTAGTTATTGGTATTCTTCGCCCCAAACTCCTGGTCCTCATATCAGATGGGGAGGCTCAAACCTATCGTCACTTTCCAAACACCATGCGAATCCAAGTTGGGCACACTTACTGTTAATCCTAGTGCCGTGGTTTTTACATCTTCACATATCTGCTTTTGTTTAAACGCATCATTCTTTCGCTCTCCATTGTTGTTAGGGTGGTGTTGGTGTGCGTTCCGTTTACTCCTGCCTTGTTTTGTCTTTCCGCCTGTCGAACAAAAGGTTAGTGTCTTGTTTTTCAACGTCAACTGATACTGATTTCTGCCCTTTGCAGCATTTATCAGACGATCTGAGGCCAGCTTGTCGTAAGCCAATGCAGGCCTTTAACTCGCACGATGAGCTCAAAAGTTTACAAGTCTGAGAAACCGAAGTTGAAATTCGCCCAGTCAAATATCAATCATGTATACCGAGGCAATACAACGGAAACACAGTACAAGCCCAGTGAGTCAATAGGCTAAGATCTATGCGTTTCTTCATTTGCCAATGTGATCGCGACTTTTCAGTGGGCGCAAAGTGAATAGGAAATGCATGTTAAATAGGTTTGCTGTACGATGTATCATGTGATTCCACTGATCCTACGAGACTGTAAAAACGCGGTAAACCGATTTCACATGCGATAATTTAGGTGTGATCGCTGCAGCCTTAATCTGCATTTGGAGCTGCCGTTATCTTGATTGAGTCGTTTGTGGTTAGTTCTACGTGTGCAGTTGAGGGTGGGAAAACAGTGAAGTAGGGCGAGACCCCAAAAGTAAATGAACGCATGCACTCTCGCGGCACTCGTAAAACGGCCCTATTCTGTCTTGAGCATAGTATTTTGTCTGTTGGGTATATTCGTGCTACCCAGTTACGTTAGGATGGGTCCACCACGAATGATTTTGCTCGCAGGGGCCTCAAGGGCTTTTAATTACGAAGAGTGCATCTTGTCTCCGTCAGTAGCGGGCATGCCAATGAACTGAGCAGATTCATGTCTTGAGTCGGAAATCGTTACCAAAGGGACACGCTTTCCGAGGATCCGAAAGAATATACGCGTGGAACCCATCGATTATATCAGATAAAGCTTGGGTAAGTATACGTATTCAAGTCGGAGTAATGTGAGGAGAAGTTGTCGGTGCCATATCACCAAACTGGCTGAAGCCAGCTACTCTTAAGCTAGGATGAAGCGCACCTGCTCACA